TGGTATTATCATTCTGTTGATGAGCTTACTTACCAAGAATACAGTGACAGGCAAGTCACAAGTTCGGCCTTTATGGCGTCAAGAAGTATTCATGCGAGGCTTATAAACGCCTGCTTGCCAGACGAAAACCAAGAAACAGAAACAGACGAAGATAGAGCAATGGCTTGGAAGCGACTTCGGCCATCGTTTCTACGGACAGCTTGTCAATCCTTGTACAATGGAGCTTTGATATCATTTCTGGCTGCAATTATCATTGGTATAATCTTCCTGCTGATCTCGTATCTCTGTTATAAAACTACTCTCGACTGTGTGTTTTACTCGAAGAAATTAATAGCAACTCATGTGCAGTGGATACGAACAATCTCGGATGTTGTTTCCGTTGTCTTCTATTACATCTGGTTATTTGTCAATCTATTATTTCTTTTTCGTCCGTATCAGCTGAAAGGCATGAAGAAGAAACTGCTCCTGGTTTGTTTCGTGGCGTACTGTTTGGACATATCTTATCGCGTTTCTTTGCAATTTCTAGCCACGCCGTATTACCTATGGCCAACCAAGCTAATCCAAGTTCCAATGTATATTGTTTTCCTTGTTAGTGTGTGTTGGCAACTGTATCTTGTCGGTATGACCTTCTCCATGCGATCAAGAACAAACCTTTTAACTTGCACTTGTAAAATGATAGTGCCAATCTGTTTACCTTTTATCAATGGTATTTTAATATGTGATTACCTTTATCCATTTTATATCAAACAAGACGTCGAGGGAAAATTGGTCATTGCTCTGTTCTCCCCTCTCACTGGAGTCGTTGTGAAAACAGTATCACGAATTTGTGTTCAGCGGTTGTGGAATTTAACTCATCCGGGATATTCCTATGTCCTATTAGCGCCTATGTACCTCTGGTATGCAATGGCTTTTCGTGTTTTACAAGCTGATCTTGACGATCTGCTATACATCGCAGTTCTTGGAATCATTCATGGAGCTGCCGAAGTCCTAGAACGAAGCGTCATGGTCGTGATTGATCACTGTTGTCACATGCTTTGGAAAAGAGAATCGTCTCCTTGGGGAAGTTTTCGCACTCCTCGTCGCGAGAGACTAATGGCTGATATTGCTATCATGAGCATGTTGTATGAATCAACTGCCATAGTGTCCGTCAATGGATTGATATACTTGTCTCAGTTTGTTTTCATAGAAAACAGCTCCCTTTTAAAGTTGTTACGGTCTTTTGCCATTTCCACTTCAGTTCAGCTGGTGATCGAGTGGTTTTTTACTAGCATATCTCTTGCGATCGAGACTCGCTATCAGAACATGGCTGTCATGGCTGTTTGGCGACGAAGATGGAAAAGACACATCTCGGTAGCGATTATAAATATAGTTCCAATAGCTGTGTGGAACAGCTCTTGTTTATTAGTGCTACTAAGTGCACGGTTCAGCCCAAGCCTTGATAGGCCATGTAAACTACCGTTTGCTTGAGAATTTAGAAAAGCTCCTCGATCCTGCTTGCGTTTTCGAGAAAAAGGAAAGAGAGGAAGAAGAAATAAAGAAAACGAAATACGTTCATCGATTTTTTTATATATTTATACAAATATATTTTACCTTTTACTGAATATTATTTAAAGAGGAAAATTAACGTAAGTAAAGTTACATGACGTTTCGAGGACTTCATGTCATCATTGTCAAATGAATAAATTAAAGATAACAGCAAGGCATATTTATATTACTTTGGATGTGAGAAGATGAAATTAGCAAACGTTACACGAAAACTTTCATGTAAAAAGTTTCGCACGAACGGAATCCGCTTGCGTTTTCAGTTTGGGTCTTTTGTTCTAAATCAAACTCGAATGTTTAATCTTTGGAATGCTGTTGATTGCTGTTGATCGTTTTTTTATAAGAAACTGAATATTATGTTAACGATTTTTTCGAAACTGCTAGCGTTTTTCTGCGCAAACTCTTGTGAAATATTATCAGGTGGATTGTAATGTAATTAGTGACGACTTTCTCTTGTAAATTTCGCTTTTTATGACGAAAGGCCCACCATAGAACAACATTTTGTTTACTTTGACGGTGTCTTCATGGAGGGTTTCAGACAACGGTTTAAGCCTTCTGAACATTCACATTTTTATTGTGGCTGATGAAGTTCATTGGAACCGAACGAAATATTCCACTTTTAATAAGAGTTTTTAATTGCGCTCTGAGTACAGAAGCTATTTTATATTTTAATCATTCCAGAGCAGGAACAATATTTTTATTCTACTTAAATTGTTGCCTTCCGTAAGAAATGAGTTCTTCTCGTCTCTAAACATTTCCAAACATTGTCTGGGAACACAAACATGGTCGCCGTGTTCATAAGGGGCCAGCGTATGGCTGCCCTGTTTTTGTAGCCCCTTGCATGGTTATACTGGCAACCAGTATTCCCCTTGGCTTTGTTATAGTCAGTAAGTTGCATGAAAGAGATGCTGGATTCAAAAACGTTGCTGTTGTTGTTGTTGTTCTTGCTTTGAGCGAATTAGAGAGCTCTAATAAATGCCAGGAATACGAATCACTCTGTTGTGGTACCAGCGGATGGGGGAGGGGGTAGTCTTTTATCTGGACAGAAAGGCTTCACCTTGCACGGCTGTCAACCTTCCCCGTATTCATGCTGCCCTTGGGCATATCTGTATGCACTTACTTTTACTGCCATCTGACCTTTCTATCGTTTCCCTATAGAATCCGTCAAAACAAAACAAAAACTTCCATTCGAGATACGGCTGTCTCGACAAGTAAAGGCTATGAAATGCAAAAGAGCTTTAAGTTAGTCAAATGTGCATTAAAAAACACTGGATTATATTAGACGAAACAATGTAAATTAAGCTCAAATGAACAAATTGACTTCAGTTTTTTATGCGTCTGTCCTCTTGTTGACGATAAATTGCGTTATAACATTGTCAAAGTGGCTGTGGAACCACTCGCCTGCGGCTCGTGGTTCCGCAGTAAACTGACGGCGATTTGTTTTTTACAATAACGAGACCTCAAAATGGTCAAATACCGGGAATAAATGAGGGGAAAAGACGCCGTAAACTTGCCGTAAACAAAGATAAGTGAATTTTATTCAAAATGCCGCGAACATTGTC